TCAGGATTCACAGAAATTTCCAACTCTCCTATAGCATATGAAACTGTTGGCCTAGAGGAAATCTAGCAGATGTGGGGGGGGGGTGGCGGAGAAGGGAGTTGGGAGGGGAGGTATCATCTTTAAAAATAGATATAATAGGGGCTGGGAATGGGCTTAATGCATGAAGCCCAGGGTTCTATTCCATATAAACAGAAAAGGCTGGAAGTGGCACTGTGGCTCAAGTGATGAGTGCTAGCCTTGGGTAAAAGAAGCTCAGGGACAGTGCCCAGGCCCTGAGTTCAAACCCTAGGACTGGAAGAAACAAGCAAACTTATTAGAGTATTTTGTTGTTGTAGTTGGTGGTGGTGGTGGTGGTCATGGGGGCCTGGGCGCTCTCCCTCAGCTCTTCAGCCCAAGGGGAGCACTCTACCACTTGAGCCACAGTGCCACTTCTGGTTTTCTGGTTTTTAATTGGAGATTAGAGTCACATGGACTTTCCTGCCCATGCTGGCTTTGAACTGTGATCCTCAGATCTCAGCCTCCTGAGTAGCTAGGATTACAGGCGTGAGCCACCGGCACCTGGCTTGTTTCTGTTTTTTAATGTATATACATTTTATTTATTATTTTTAATGCATATAAATTTTATTTATTATTTTTAATGCATATAAATTTTATTTATTTATTTTTTGTATTGGGGATTGAGCCTAAGATGTTGCACTGGCTCAAGTGCTTTGCCACTGAGCTACATCCCAGCACTTTACTAGAGTATTTTGTGAGCTTTTTTGTTTCCATTAGTGTGCCGGTCCTGAGGTTGAATGCTTGAGTTACAGTTCAACTTCCAGATTTTCTTTTTTTTTTTGGTCCAGTCGTGGGGCGCTCTACCACTTGAGCCACAGTGCCACTTCCAGCTTTTTTTTTTTTCTGCTTATGTGGTGCTGAGGAATTGAACCCAGGGCCTCATGCATGCAAGGCAAGCGCTCTACCACTGAGCCACCTTCCCAGCCCCAACTTCCAGATTTTTATGTTTAATTAGAAATGAGAGTGTCATGGACTTTCCTGTTGGCAGGCTTCAAACTGTTATCCTCAGATTTCAGTGTCAGTAGAGAGGATTACAGATGTGAGCCACAGGCATCCAGCCCCATTAATTGTTTGAAAAATCAAATATTAAACTTTCAAATTAAAAGTGCCAATTTTTATTTATTTACCATTAAGGGTGTGGTTTTTGTTTTTGTTTTTCGTGCATTCGGCAATTTTTTTTTTTTTTTTGTTGGTCGTGGGGCTTGAACTCTGGGCCTGGGCACTGTCCCTCAGCTCTTCAGCTCAAGGCGAGCGCTCTACCACTTGAGCTACAGCGCCACTTCCGCTTTTCTGGTGGTTTATTGGACATAGGAGTCTCACGGTCTCTCCTGCCCGGGGTGGCTTTGAACCGCAATCCTCAGATCTCAGCCTCCTGAGTAGCTAGGATTACAGGCGTGAGCCACCAGCTCCCGGCAGCATTCGGCAAATTTTAAAATGTGAAAAGAGCCCCTGCTAGTGGCTTATACATGTAACTCTAGCTACTCAGTAGGCTGAGATCTGAGTATTGCAGTTCGAAGCTAGCCTAGGCAGGAAACTTTGTGAGACTCTATCTCCGATTAAACATTAGAAATCTGGAAATGGAGCTGTGACTCAAAGTAGCACTAGCCTTGAGCAAAAAAGCTCAGGGACAGTGCCCATGTCCTGAGTTCAAAGCCTTATGATCCATAAAAACTGAAAAAAATTAAAATAGAAATTGAATATTTACAAGCTGAGCTGGAACGAACATGATCCTCAGATCTCAGAGTAGTTAGGATTACAGGCCGGAGAGGTGGCCAGCACAAGCTCAATGTTTTTAAGTGTGTATTTTGGTAACACTGTTTGGATTTGAAAGGCACAAGGATGAGTGCCTCCTGTTGAGTGTTACTAAAATCTTTTTCTTAACATTTTTAGAGGCTTCGTGATGGAGTAATCAGAGACATTGAGAGGCAAAATCGAAAAAAAGAAAATATTCGTCTTTTGGGAGAACAGATTATTTTGACTGAAGAACTTGAAGCAGAAAGAGAGAAGATGTTGGAAAAAGGATCTCAAAAAACATGACTTTAAATGAATGTGAAATACTGGGACATACAGTGCTGAGTTGTGTGTGTTGTATTATAGAGATATAGAGAATAGCTTCGTGTTTTTTTCTTTTTTCTTTTTCTTTTTTGCCAGTTGTGGGGCCTGAACTCTGGGCCTGGGCGCTGTCCCTCAGCTCTTCAGCTCAAGGCTGGAGAATTGAACCCAGGACCTCATGCATGCAAGACAAGCACTCTACCACTGAGCCACCTTCCCAGCCCTAGCTTAGTGTTTTTTTTTTTTTTTTGGGTCCGGTCGTGGGGCCTGAACTCTGGGCCTGGGCGCTGTCCCTCAGCTCTTCAGCTCAAGGCTAACGCTCTACCACTTGAGCCACAGCGCCACTTCCGGCTTTTTTCTTTTTGCTTATGTGGTGCTGAGGAATCGAACCCAGGGCCTCGGGCATGCAAGGCAAGCACTCTACCACTGAGCCACCTTCCCAGCCCTGTTCCTCAGTTCTTTAGCTCAAGGCTAGTGCTCTACTACTTGAGCTACAGTGCCACTTCCGGTTTTGTGGGTTTTTTTATTGGCCATAAGAGTCTCATGGACTTTCCTGCCTGGGCTGACTAGGAAATGTGATCCTTATCTCAGCCTCCTGAGTAAGCTAGGATTACAGGTGTGAGCCACTGGTTCCTGGCTAAATTAATATTCTTGATGGTAACTCAATAAAAAATTACAAAATTTGGCTGGGAATGTAGCTTAGTGGTAGAGTGCTAGCCTAGCATGCCCTGGGTTCCAATCTTCAGTACCACATAAACAGAAAAAGCTGGAAGTGATGCTGTGGCTTAAGTGATAGAGTGCTAACCTTGAGCAAAAGAAACTCAGGGACAGTGCCTAGGCCCTGAATTCAAGTCCCAGGACTGGCAAAAAAAAAAAAATAGAAAATTTGAAATCCCATGTTGTTGAAAGTACTAATCATGTTTATCTAATAAGATTATATACAGGCACCGGTGGCTCATGCCTATAATCCTAGCTACTCTGGAGATTGAGATCTGAGGATCATGGTTCAAGGCCAGCCCAGGCAGGAAAGTAGTGAGACTTATCTCCAATCAACTACCAAATATCCAGGAGTAGAGTTCTGGCTGTAGTGGTAGAGTGCTAGCCTTGAGCAAAATTAGTTCAAGTACAGCACCCAGGCCCTGAGTTCAAGCCCATGATACAACACACGCACACACACACACACACACACACAAAGGTGTTAAGGGGTTGAGGACCAAATTCTAGTCATACTTGAAGTTCAAGTGCATAAAAATTACTGTTAGGTTTAATACATGGACAACTGCTATAGTCAGATCAAAGGTTTTTGATGCTCTTTGGTAGTACATACGGTTTTATTTCTCACTTTTGGACTTCCTTTATCTGCTGGCAAGTCATATGCACACACCTTGAGGGTTTCAGCTAGCATACTAGTTTGAGTGCTTTGCCAGCTATCATACAATTTGTACCAAAATAGGAGACTAGAAAAAAAGCAAGTACTAGAAGAATGCTTTGTGTAAGAGTTTATAGCCAAGTGAAGTATATATGCACATATATTTGCATACATTTTTGTGAAGTGGGTCATTTTCTGGCATGTGGAAACATTTTTGTTAAAATGGATTCAACAGTTCAGATTAATGGATAATGTTACAACATTTTTATAGTAAACCAACCTAGAAGCTAGGTCTTCAAAACTGGCTTTTGCTTCCAAACTGTCTAAATTTATTGACTCAGGATTCTGTCCAAATATCTGTAGCTTTCCTGGTTCTCACAGGAATATTTTATGCCTTTTATTGATCATTGGAATTGAACTCTGGGCCCTGGGCCATTGTCACTGAGCTTTTTTGCTCAAGGCTAATGCTGTACCTCCTTGAGCCACAGCTCCATTTTCTGCTTTTGGGTTATTAATTGGAGATAAGAGTCTCAAGGTCTTTTCCTCCCAGTTCTCGGACTTCTAAGTAGCTAGGATTATAGCACATAGCTCAAAGTTTATTTAAAGTGTCCTTTGTAGGCAGGTTCCTGCTAACTTCAGCCTCTCTGTTCATGAATATAAGCAGAACTTTGTGGTTAGGGAGAAGTTTTTGTGTACAAACAATTCTGATCCACTTGGCACATTTTTGTTTCCTCTCTAGAATATGGACCTCCTTGTTTTGTTTTTTTTTGGACCTCCTTGTTTTTCAAGCCTCCCCTACCTTCACCTCTACACTTCTAGTTCTTCAGGCCCTCCAGTAAATCCCTCTAACTTTTCTGTCTCCCTAATATAAATTAGTACCCTCTTTAGGTGCCCCCTCACTGCCTCTGGGGTGCACATTACATTATGCTCCTATGCTTTTCATGTTCAAAGAGCATCAACATCTGGGAACTTGGATGCACAGGCCTATATTCCACCTCAGATTAGTTCATTTCATCTGGGGTAGCTGTAGGCATCATTAGGGAAACAGAAAACAGTTCTCTGGGTTCTGATACACCATGAGAATGGAGAATCACTGTGCAGTTGTGACCTCGTAGACTTGTGAACTGATGAGAATAGGCACCATGTCTGCCTTGGACATTGAATATCTAATTCCCAGTCCAGTGCTTGGCAGGCAGTAACTCAGAAAGAATGTATGAACAGACCTGTGTGAAGGAGTCAGGAATGTAATAGTTGGAAATCCAGTTGGAGCAATCATACCTGCTTTTCCAGTACCTTTCTCCTCTAAAGTTAAGGAACTGTAGAGTCTGTGGGAGCATGAACTTTACTTTAGAAGAATGAAAATCTTTTTCTCTACTCAATACCCTACTCTCATCCTGAAGTTGTGGGTTGATTGAAAAAAGGGGGAAAAATGGAAATCTGGTTGATCAGATGATGAAAGAAAACTGGGTTTGATGCTTTTAAGATAAGCCTGTGTTGTAACTTTTTTGTTTTCCTCCTAGGTCAGCTGAGGGAACAGCTCAGTTACCTTAAGGGTGATAACTTTTTTAGGTTTACTTGTTCAGATTGCTCAGCAGATGGCAAGGAGCAGTATGAGCGGCTGAAGCTAACATGGCAGCAAGTGAGTAAACAAATGCTCTTCTAAAATTCCTTGGGTTGGTCCTCTGAAAAATTTGGTGGATTGGTTATCTGTAGTGAGGAACTTGTGGTCTTTTGAGTTAAGGGATGCTTTCCAGACATTTCTAGACAGACGTCTGGAAAGAGGAGTCTTAGTTAAAAAACAAAAATGACCACGTTATCTACGTGACTTAAGTTTGAGATTTTCTTTGTTTTTTAAAGTTTCATAAATCTGTTATCAGAAATCTTTTATGTACAAAGGGATTAATTATGTTTATATGTAACACAAACCTTTGATGTTTTAATTGAAAATCAGGTTCACTTTTTTTTTTCCCTGAGGTTCATATGTTTTAGTTATGCTTTTAGTACAATGGAGCCATAGGATGGCAGCAGTAGAAGTAGATTTGGAAATAGTGGTGCTACATTACAAAATCCAAGACAATCCAGCTTTTCTTCATTCAAACTCAAACATTTTGAGTATTTTTTTGTTGATGATTTTTTCTTTTTTTTGGCTAGTCATGGGGCTTGAACTCAGGGCCTGGGCTTTGTCCCTGAGACTCTTTGTGCTCAAAGCTAGCACTTTGCTACTTGAGCAAAGTGCCACTTCAAGCTTTTTCTGAGTAGTTTGTTGGAGGTAAGAGTCTCATGAACTTTTCTTTTCTTTTCTTTTTTTTTTTTTTGGGTCCGGTCATGGGGCCTGAACTCTGGGCTTGGGTGTTGTCCCTCAGCTCTTCAGCTCAAGGCGAGCGCTCTACCACTTGAGCCACAGTGCCACTTCCGGCTTTTTTTTTTTTGCTTATGTGGTGCTGAGGAATCGAACTCAGGGCCTCAGGCATGCAAGGCAAGTGCTCTACCACCTTCCCAGCCCTCTCATGAACTTTTCTGTCTGGGCTGGCTTCAAATCATGATCCTTAGATCTCAGCCTTCTGGGTGCTATCCCTCAGCTCTTCAGCTCAAGGCTAGTGCTCTACCACTTAAGCCAGAGCACCACTTCCAACTTTTTCTGCTTATGTGGTGCTGAGGAATCGAACCCAGGGCCTCATGCATGCAAGGCAAGCACTCTACCACTGAGCTACCTTCCCAGCCCTGATGTATTCTTAATGTCAACTCTTAGCTGTCTCTAATGCCAGTACTCTAAGGGAACTATGGCCTGAGCAATAATAGTTTTTATTCATAACTGGATTGTACATTTTTGTTTTCTTTTCATTCATGTATTTATATATAATAAGGTGTCAAGGTACATGCGGTTTTTTTAAATTACTTTTTTGTTTTTTGTTTTTGGTGCAAGTCTTAGAATTTGAACTCAGGGCTTGGGCACTGTCCCTGAGTTTCTTTTATTTAAGGCCAGCATTCTACCAATTGAGCCAAGGCTCTACTTCCAGGTTTTTTGGTAGTTTATTGGAGATAAGAGTCTCATGACTTTCCTATTCAGGCTGACTTCAAACTGTGATCCTCAGATAACAGCCTCCTGAGTAGCTAGAATTACAGGCTACCTGCGCCTGGCTTCACTGCTTTTTAAATTCATTAAAAAATGAGCTGGTGGCTCACTTCTGTAATCTTAGCTGTTCAAGAGGCTGAGATCTGAGGATAGTGGTTCAAAGCCAGCCTGGGCTGAAAACTCCTGAGAAACACATCTCTAATTAACCACCATTAAATCAGAAGTGGCACTGTGGCTCAAAATGGTGGAGCACTAACCTTGAGCAGAAGAGCTCAGGGACAGCACCCAGGCCTGAGTTGGACTATGGTCCAAAAAAATTTTTTTTAAACTTTATTTGGTATATATTCATTTATGATTCTGGGGCTCAAACTCAGGACCTGGTGAATGTTAAGCAAGCACTTTACCATTTAACTACTACCCCAACCCTATTTTTGTTTTCTCTTAAGAAATCCTGAGTCCTGTGGCAAAGCAGGCACTTTTGTGGGCTGAGATTACTGTGGTTTTGAGACAGATAAGGGTTACCTCCAAGGCAGCACACATTCCACACCTTTTTACATCATAAACGGATCAACAAGTTAGTAACCTTTGGTACTTTCTGCTCTGAAGAAAATAAACAGTAATGAGAAGAATTCTAGGTGATAATGTTTAGACCTCTAACTGAATTTCTAGTAAATTGTAGTTGCTGTAGCAGCCTGTGATTGTTACCTTAATTATTATTAAGACATCTCATGAAGTCAGTGGTGAATCTAGGAAGCCTTTGTTGACTTGCCAAAAAAAAGTTAAGGAGGGAAGGGGAAAGGGAAAGTAGGAGAAAAATGAGGGAAGGGGTAACAAGTTTGACAAGAAATGTACTGAATTATCTTACTTATATAACTGTAACCATTCTGTACCTCACCTTGACAATAATTAAAAAAAAAAGGTTCACTATAAAAAAAAGTTAAGAATGAAGGGAAAGCCGGGCGCTGGTGGCTCACGCCTGTAATCCTAGCTACTCAGGAGGCTGAGATCTGAGGATCGCGGTTCAAAGCCAGCCTGGGCAGGAGAGACTGTGAGACTCCTATCTCTAATAAACCACCAGAAAACTGGAAGTGGCACTGTAGTTCAAGTGGTAGAGCGCTCGCCTTGAGCTGAAGAGCTGAGGGATAGCGCCCAGGCCCAGAGTTCAAGCCCAACGACCGAACCAAAAAAAAAAAAAAAAGAATGAAGGGAAATTGGAATTGAAAATAAAAATCTCATGAATATTGTGATTGAAGTATTTTTCTCAGTATGGATGGGGTGCAGGCAAGGTCATATTAATATTAACAGTATTGCAAATATATACATGAATATGCCTTATAAGATATGGCTTGCCAATAGCTTCGCATAAATGCTATAAAATAGAAGAGTCAGGTATATGTAATTTGTCATTTTAAAGAATATTGATTTTCTTTGGAGGTTGCTTTTAGAAGAAAGGCTAATTTTTGGTTCCATTACCTAGAATATGTAATTAATTAGATTCAGTTTGTATATTTAGTCACTTGAAAACTATTTTAATTTATGTACATACTCTGTTTTGGCAGGGTCTTACTATATAGTAGTTAAGTTACTATGGGGCTTTTTTTGGGGGGGAGGGTCATTCATGGGGCTTGAACTCAGCACTTGAGTGTTGTCCCTGAGCTCTTTTGCTCAAGACTAGTGCTCTCTCTTTTTTTTTTGGATCCGGTCGTGGGGCCTGAACTCTGGGCCTGGGTGCTGCCCCTCAGCTCTTCACCTCCAGGCCATAGTGCTCTTCCATTTTAAGCCACTGTGCCACTTTCTATTTTCTAGTGGTTAATTGGAGATAAGAGTCTTACAGATTTTCCTCCCTGAGCTAGCTTTGAACCACAGATCACAGCCTTCTGTGTAACTAGGATAATACCAGTGCCTAGCAGGTATGAAACTTTGGATCTCTTTTTCTGTACCTCCTGAGGGCTGGGATTACAGGCATGTACTATCACCATACCTAGCTCAGATATGGTTCTTGGTAGAAGACCTAAAAGAGAATCTACTGGTCTGCTTCATTGCTGTTGCCAAATACTTAGAATATTGGAATTTGGCCTGTCTTCCTAAAATCTTAACCGTTGTACTTGCTGATTTATTGAAGTAGTAAGGAGAAATGCTTGTAATAAAGAGGATTTTGATAACATTACAAAATCCCAGTAGTAAGGAAGTCTGTTTGGAAGGGCCTTTTCCTTTTATATCCTCCCCTCTTCCTCTTTGAAGACTTTGTGGACTCTGTGTTTGACACATAGGAGAAATTTTATCAGATATATGAGAATGATAACAATGATTATACATTCTTTTTCTCTTTTTTTGTACAGCACTGCAGCTTGAACTCAAGGCCTGGGCTCTGTTCCTTAGCTTTTTTTTTTTTTTGCTGGTCGTGGGGCTTGAACTCAGGGCCTGAGTGCTGTCTCTGAGTTTTTCTGTTCAAGGCTAGTGCTCTACTACTTGAGCCACAGCGCTACTTCCGGCTTTTTCTGCTTATGAGGTGCTAAGGAATCAAACCCAGGGCCTTGTGCAGTCAAGGCAAGCACTCTACCACTGAGCTACCTTCCCAGCCCCAACTTCCGCTTTTTTGTGGGTTAATTGGGATAAAAGTCTCATGGGATTTCCCACCCTGGCTGTGATTTTCAGCATTCAGCCTCCTGAGTAACTAGGATTATTGGGGTGAGCTACTGCTTGGCTCCTTAGCTTTTTCAATCAAGGCTAGTTGTTTACCACTTGAGCCACAGCTCTACTTCTTTCTTTTTGGTGGTTAATTAGAGATAAGATCTCAGACTTTTCTGCTTAGACTGGCTTCCAGCCTCAATCTGGTAAAGCATTTACTATCTATGCTCATTATTTTTCTAGTTGTTCTTCAACAGATAGTTTTTTTTTTTTTTTTTGGTTGTGGGGCTTGAACTCTGGGCCTGGGCGCTGTCCCTCAGCTCTTCAGCTCAAGGCGAGCGCTCTACCACTTGAGCTACAGTGCCACTTCCGGTTTTCTAGTGGTTTATTGGAGATAAGAGTTTCACGGACTTTCCTGCCTGGGCTGGCTTTGAACCGATCCTCAGATCTCAGCCTCCAGAGTAGCTAGGATTATAGGCGTGAGCTGATAGTTCTTTAAGTCTGCTGTTGCAGCACCAGCCCTGAGGTAGGCCCCTGGGGAGTCATTGGTCCACAAGACTGTTTTTCTTGCTGGCAGAAGGAGAGCAGGAAACTAAACTGGAATTCTTTTTCTTTTTTGTCCATCGTGGGGCTTAAACTCTGGGCCTCAGATCTCAGCCTCCTGAGTAGCTAGGATTACAGGTGTGAGCCACCAACACCCGGCTTGGAATTCATCTTATAGATCACAAATTCCAAAAGGAACAGTGGGTCTTTTCTGTAAATAAGTGCACTTTAACTTATGAGTCTTGAAATGTCTTAAATATCCAGAAAGTACTGGATCTAAACAACACCCATATGTACTATTGAGGTGAGCAGTAAATGCATGTTTCTGAATTCCATATTGTTCGTGGATAATGTTCATCTATAACTTTTTTATTGAACAATCACTTTTTCTTTACATTATGCTAAGATACACATTGCATTTGTCACTTTTTAGTTTATATTTCAGTGGTACTATATATATTCACATGGAATCATTCTGACTATCCTTCTCTAGAACTTAAAAAAAATTTTTTTCCTAAACTGAAACTTCACACCAATCGAACAACTCCTATGAATGTTACCTTTTTAAAGAAATTATATATTGACTAGATGCAGAACTAAGTGAAGACATTTGAAAAATGTTCATGGAATTTATATAGAATAGAGTGTTGTAAGTTGAAGAATGGGGGAAATTGAGACTCTGCTAGTGAAGTATCACAAATACTAGTGCCTGGACTACACAGCCCTTTATTTGGGGCTGCACTGTGGAGGGGATGCTTGTGACAATACCTGGTTGCTAGTCATGTGTGTAGGCATCAGTCTGCCACCCCTCAGCCCTACATATTTAACACACCAAGAACAACTACACATAACTATGGATTAGTGATGCCTCATAATATTTTTTAAAAGGGCATTAATATCTGTACCCAGAATATTCCAATCTATCATCCTTCACTGTCTCCTCCACTCCCACCATTCCTACTCAGGATTTAGGATTGCCATCTTCTTGCCTCTCCCCTGCCCCTCAAAAAAAAAGATTAACATTGCTGATCACACTGATCTCTTGGTCCATTTCATTTGTGTTTCAGGTTGTCATGTTGGCAATGTACAACTTGTCTCTGGAAGGAAGTGGACGTCAAGGTTATTTCAGGTGGAAAGAGGATATCTGTGCTTTTATTGAGAAACATTGGAATTTTTTACTGGGAAATAGGTAATATGATATTTAAGAATCTTACACTTGTAAAGTACAAAATATACATTATTTGAATTATTTGAGACTGCCTCATGTAGCCCTATTAGAGATTTATTGTATTTATTTATTTATTTGTTTGAGTTTTCTTTTTTTGTCGGTTGTGGGGCTTGAACTCTGCGCCTAGGCACTGTCCTTCAGCTCTTCAGCTCAAGGCAAGCACTCTACCACTTGAGCCACAGTGCCACTCCCAGTTTTCTGGTGGTTTATTGGAGATAAGAGTCTCATGGACTTTTCTGCCCTGTCTGGCTTTGAACTGCAATTCTCAGATCTCAGCCTTCTGAGTAGCTAGGATTACAGGTGTGAGGCACCAAGCCTGGCAGTTTGAGTTTTCTTTTTTTTGGGGGGGAGGGGGTCCAGTCGTGGGGCCTGATCTCTGGGCCTGGGTGCTGTCCCTCAGCTCTTCAGCTCAAGGCTAGTGCTCTACCACTTGAGCCACAGTGCCACTCCCAGTTTTCTGGTGGTTTATTGGAGATAAGAGTCTCATGGACTTTTCTGCCCTGTCTGGCTTTGAACTGCAATTCTCAGATCTCAGCCTTCTGAGTAGCTAGGATTACAGGTGTGAGGCACCAAGCCTGGCAGTTTGAGTTTTCTTTTTTTGGGGGGGGAGGGGGTCCAGTCGTGGGGCCTGATCTCTGGGCCTGGGTGCTGTCCCTCAGCTCTTCAGCTCAAGGCTAGTGCTCTACCACTTGAGCCACAGCGCCACTTCTGGCTTTTTTCTTTTTGCTTATGTGGTGCTGAGGAATGGAATCCAGGGCTTCATGCATGCTAGGTTATCATCTTTTTTTTTTTTTTAACTGTATTTTTTTTGTCTTTTCAGTACTGGTGATCAAACTCAGAATGTTGTACTTGTTAGGCAAGTACTTTGCCACTGAGCTACATCCCAGCCTTGTTTTATTATCTTTAAGTAGGTGTACCAAAGGGGTTTCAATTCAGCATATCAGTGTATGAGTACAATTAATCAATATCATCCCTTGCCCTCCCCTATATCTCCCAATCTTCCCCATCGCTTCAAGTTGTCTGGTTCTATTTCACATATGTACATTGAATGTTTTGACTGTTTTTGCCCATCTTCCTCTCTTCCTATGTTCCCCTTCCCCTTGACAACAACCTCCAACACATGTTCCAGCTTCCTGGTATTCATTTTGTTAGAGTATTTATTTGTGGCAAGTACAAGACTTTTTAATTCCAGAAACTTTTTTTTTAAGTTACAGCTTGGTTATGAACACTTGGAGTAGAAGTATATACTGTAAAATTTGTGGATTTTTGTAGTTCTCTCATAAGAAGAAAGTTGATTGTTTTTACTGAGTTCAAGCCCCAGGACTAGCACAAAACAAAAATAAAGAAAAGGATTGGATGAGTATTTAATTTGAGGAAATAGAGTTATGTTTGTTTAAAAATCAGTGGTTTGTTCAGGTCAGAAGAGAAAAAGGAAAGGCAGGTATTGACTGTATCCATTTACATTGTTTTTAATAATGTCTTGTTTTATTACTACCTGGAAAGTACATAATTTTGGTATTCACAGTGCTTATCAAAGTCTCTTCAGACTAACATACATTTTTTTTTTTCATTGATTATTCTTTTCCTAATTATGCTTTGCGTTTTGCTGCTCCACCCTCCCTCTCCATTGGTGGTGGTTTGGTTCAATGGACTTAGATGAACCACTAGACTTAGGAATGCACTAACATTGAGACATGTTAAAGTCCATGCTAGGGTCTAGTGAGTTTGTACAATATTGGTGAATTTTGTTTGAGATTCTGATTGTTGCTGGTGTCTTATGTGAGATTCAGGAATCCTGCCTAATTAGGTTTGTATAGACATGATAAAGACTGTTTCCTCAGTGATGACATTATCTTTGCTCATGTTACTGAGATGACAGAGAATGAAGGGGACCCTCCAAGGACTCACTGTGAGAATGAATAGAATAAACTCAGCACATTTTACAAGGAGCTATTTTAGTTCTTTAGTTTTTTTATTTTTGCTTTTTGTATTTGCCAGTCCTGGGGCTTGAACTCAGGGCCTGGGTACTGTCCCTGAGCTCCTTTTTGCTCAAGGCAAAAAATGTGACACTGAGAAATTGAACCCAGGGTTTCATGCTTGTTAGACAAGCACTCTAACACTAAGCCACCTTCCTAGCCCCAGAAAAAAATTGAACTTTTTTTTTTTTAACTTTCTTAAAGGCACTAAAGACTTTAATTCTTTTAGCCAGAGGGCATACTTCAAAAAAATTTTTTTTCTTTTTTTTTTTTTTTGGGGGGGGTCCGGTCATAGGGCCTGAACTCTGGGCCTGGGCGCTGTCCCTCAGCTCTTCAGCTCAAGGCTAGCACTCTACCACTTGAGCCACAGCACCACTTCTGGCTTTTTTTTTCTGCTTATGTGGTGCTGAGGAATCGAACCCAGGGCCTCATGCATGCAAGGCAAGCGCTTTACCACTGAGCCAACTTCCCAGCCCCTTGTTTTTGTTTTTTGTTGGTTGTGGGTCTTGAACTCTGAGTCTGGGTGCTGCTCCTCAGCTCTTCAGCTCAAGGCTAGTGTTCTACCCTTGAGCCACAGCACCACTTCCTAGGAGTATAATTTTATACCATTAAAGAAACAAGTTAAAATATGCAGGAGTTTAATTACTATGGATTAATTGTAATTGTATATATGCTCATTTAATCTGCTTTTACAATCTTGGCCTCGAATTTCTAGAAAAAGTGAATGCTTTCTTAATAGAGTTCTGTGATTTTTAAGAAGCACATTTAATGATATATACATTTTAACATTTTTGACAGCTTGATACATCTTATAAGTGTTAGTCAGCTCTCTTATTTGTACATGAGCGATATATCTTAAAATCAGTAGAAGTTAGACTTGATGAATATGATAGAGCACATTCATAGTAATTACACTTCAAAAAGGAGGATCCTGGGAAGATGTTGGTGGAATAGGAAGCACCAGAAATATGTCTCCTTACCTAGACCATAATTGCACTGATAGAATCTGTTTAAGGTAATTATTTTGGAACTTGAGAGTCTAATAAAAGCTTGCAATTTCTAGGGGGAAGGCTTGAGTAAATTGTGGTTAATTTTGGTCATTCTCAGCTTTTAGCACAGTTGCACCAGCTCATTCCCCACTTCCAGCTCTGAAGCAGGAAGCTCTGTGTGCCTGTCTTTACAGCAGTCTGCACACACTATAGGATCCAGGATAGCCAAAAAGAACTCTCCCTTCCAAATGTTGGGAATTTGTGCTATGATCACTGCTGCTTCTGATAAGAGGTGGATAAAAGATGCAGCATTGCACTCTTTCTCAGTATTGCAAAAACAAGTAAAAGGCTGGGTACTGGTGGCTCACGTCTATAATCCTAACTACTCAGGACGCTGAGATCTGAGGATCGCGGTTCCGAGCCAGCCCAGGCTGGAAAGTACATGAGACTTTTTTTTTTTTTGGCCAGTTTTGGGGCTTGAACTCAAGGCCTGGACACTGTCCCTGAGCTTCTTTTGCTCAAAGCTAGCACTCTACCACTTGAGCCATAGCACCACTTTTGGCTTTTTCTGTGTATGTGGTACTGAGGAATCGAATCCAGGGCTTCATGCATGCTAGGCAAGCATTCTACTACTAAGCCACATTCCCAGCCTCCATGAGCCTCTTATCTCCAATTAACCACCAGAAAACTGGAAGTGGCACTGTCGCTTAAGTAGGTAGAGCAATCACCTTGAGCTGAAGAGCTGAGAGGCAGCCCCCAGGCCCAGAGTTCAAGCCCCAAGACCAATCAAAAAAACAAAACAAAACAAAACCAAAAAACTAAAAAAAGTAAAGGCTTGAATAATCATTTATCCAAAGAAGATACAAAAGTGGGGGAAAAAAAGCCAACAAGCACAAGAAAAAATTGCCCAAGAACAGGCATTGGAGGCTCATGTCTGCACTACTCATGAGGCTGAGATTTGAGGTTCATGATAGGAAGCCAGCTGGGCAGGAAAGTCCATGAGACTCTAAAGTCCAATTAAGCACCAGAAAACTGGAAGTAGAGCTGTACCTTCAGTGATAGCGCACTATCCTTGAGTAAAAAGCTAAGGGACAGCACCCAGACTCTGAGTTCAAGCCTCACAACAACAAAAATAAACCCTCAAAATCATTGATCATTAGGAAAATGCAAAGCATAATTGCAGTGAGATACCACCTCAAATCTAATGAGATAGAGGTATGAAAAAATATAGATATTGTGGCCCATACCTGTAGTTCCAGTACTTAGGAAGCTGAGACAGAAGGATTATGAGTTGGAGGCCAGCTTAGGCTATGTAGCCAGACCCAAATTAATTGGGGGGGGGTGGGGAAGGAAATTACCCGGGTGCCCTTGGCTCATGCCTGTAATCCTAGCTATGCAGAAGGCTGAGATCTGAAGATCGCAGTTCAAAGCCAGCCTAGGCAGGAAAGTCTGTCTGTGAGACTCTTATCTCCAATAAACCACTCAGAAAACTGAAGTGGCACTGTGGCTCAAGTGGTAGAGTGCTAGCCTTAAGCTGAAGAGCTGAGGGAGAGGTCCCAGGCCCAGAGTTCAAGACCCACAACCAGCCAAAAAAATAATAATAACCATAGTGGGAATATGGAAAAAGGAGAATCCTTGTATACCATTGAAGGGAATGTAAAGTCACACAATCACTTTGGAAAACTAATAGTTCCTCAAACTCAATATAGAATTCTCAAATCATTGGGTAATTATACATTTGGGTATTACTCAAGAGAATTTTAGGCAAGAGCTGAAAGAGATACTTGTATTTTGAACTGGAATCCTCAGATCTCAGCTTCTTAGTAGGTAGGATTATAGGCGTGACCCACTGGTATTGAACTGGCATGTAATCTTTCTTTTTTTTTTTTTTTTGGGTCCGGTCGTGGGGCCTGAAGTCTGGGCCTGGGCGCTGTCCCTCAACTTTTCAGCTCAATGCTAGCATTCTATCAGTTGAGCCACAGCGCTACTTCCGGCATTTTTCTTTTTGCTTATGTGGTGCTGAGGAATGGAAACCCAGGGTCTCATGCATGCAAGGCAAGCGCTCTACCACTGAGCCACCTTGCCAGCTCCTGGCATGTAATCTTATTACCACAACAATGCATCAAGGAAAACTGTAATAGTCTGAGAAATTACTTACTGGGACTTAGATTAACTTGGGTCACCAAATGTCTAATCTTAGCACTGCTTAATTTATGTTAAAAAAGTAGCTTAATTAAAGCTATCTTATAGGACTGTAGAATTATGATGACTGTTACAGGAAATTTTTTTGTTTTTGTTTTTTTAATTGTACCAGTCTGGGGTACTGTTGGAGCTTCTTTTTTTTTTTTTTTTGCTCAAGACTAGCATTCTCCCACTTGAGCCATACCTCCACTTCTGACTTTTTGGTGGTTAATTGGAAATAAGAGTCCCATGGACTTTCCTGCCTGAGCTGGCTTCAAACCATGATCCTCAGATCTCATCTTCCTGAGTAGCCAGGATTACATGTGTGAGCCACCAGTGCATGGCTTCTAAGAAATGTTTTATTTCATTCAGTTCTCCTAGCAACCTTGTGAGATAGTTCTATTATTTTGATTTTACAGATGAAGGCAGATAAAAGGTTGTAGAGCCAGGATTTGAAACCAGGCTGACTCTAGAACCTCTCTTTTGAAGCTTATGGATAGGAGTCAGAGCCTGCATGGAATATATTTTTGATATACTGGTGAAATTGAGGTACCAATGGTTTTTAAATTCTTGGGCTCTTTAGGAAAAAGACTTCGACATGGTGGAGCACAGTAGCAGGCTGCCTTAGTGTGGGAAGCCCTATGTATTTCCGTTCTGGTGCTCAGGAATTTGGAGAACCCGGATGGTGGAAACTTGTTCATAACAAGCCCCCAACAATGAAACCTGAAGGAGAGAAGTTGTCTGCCTCCACTTTGAAAGTAAAAGGTACTGTTGTGAGAAGAGCACAAAAGGAGCTAGTCAGACCAGGGCCAGGCAAGCATGAGCAGGGAACAGGCTGCTTTTAGGAGGCTTAGGCCATTTCATTTGTCTCTAGAGTTGTTCCACTTGAAAATTTTATGGTGACACTTTCTGTATGTTATAAATTTATTGGATACTTTATTACATTAAAAAAGAGCATAAGTATATTTATTCTTTATTTTATTCCAGTATGCCTTGTACAATTTTCAATTGTAGTGCATATAGATCTGCTCTATTTTATTTGATTCTATCATATGATAATCTAGTAAAACATTTCTCTATTGGACATTTTGTTGTTTCTGTCCCCTACCTACTCCCCACTTTTTTTTATTTTTGCTGGTCCTGGTACCTGAATTCAGAGCCTGAGTACTTTCCCTTGAGCTTTTTCCTCAAGGCTAGTGCTCTTATCACTTGAGATGCAGCTCTACTTCCAGCTTTTTAGTAGTTAACTGGAGATACAGAGTCTCACAGATTTTTCCTTTGAGGCTGGCTTCAAACTGTGATCCTCAGACCTTGGCCTCCTCTAGGATTCTGGCTAAGTATGAGCTACTGGTGCCCAGCTGGTCCCCTCCCCCTTTTTTAAATCATTAAAAAAATAATGCTACAGTTTTTCAAATTTGAATATGTGTACAAATTGTGATAAATTTCTGGAAATAGTGTTTCTGGATAATAGGATATATTAAAAAGCATATTCTGACAATTGTTCATTGTCACTCCATTAGTATTCATGGTTAAATTACCCTCAAAATTGTGATAAAGTTTATATCTTATCAAAAAAGTCATGAAGACATCCATTTCCTCATTCTCTTCTGAGCATTATGAAAATTTAATGTTCTCCAATTCTTTTTTTTTTTTTTTTTTGGTCGGTCGTGAACTCTGGGCCTGGGCGCTGTCCTTCAGCTCAAGGCGAGCACTCTACCACTTAAGCTATAGCGCCACTTCCGGTTTTCTGGTGGTTTATCGGAGATAGGAGTTTCATGGTCTCTCCTGCCTGAGCTGGCTTTGAACCGAGATCTTTAGATCTCAGCCTCCTGAGTAGCTAGGATTATAGGCGTGAGCCACCAGCGCCCGGCTGTTCTCCAGTTCTTATGTGGAAGTAGTTACTTGTTTCAGTCTATATCACAGTTTTTTTGTTGTTATTGGCAAAGACTCCCATTAAGATTCTTGCTATGTTGTCTAGGCTGGTCTGGAATTCCTAAGTCCAAACGATCCTTCTGCTTTAGCAGGCTTGGTTTAAAACTTTTTTCTTAAGAGATATTTAAATTTGTTGGTTTAGGATATCCATAGGCCATTTATCTATAATAAGCATAGCACTAGGTTCACAGTAATAAATTATGAAAGAAAATGAAGCTGGATAGTGACCTTAAAAGTTTGATGTTTATCCTTTATTGGCAGCCTCAAAACCAATGTTGGATCCCATCATTACTGTTGAGGGACTCAGAAAACGGGCAGGTCGAAATCCTGTGGAATCTGCCATGGAATTAAAAGAGAAAAGATCTCGAACACAGGAAGCAAAAGACATTAGAAGAGCCCAAAAGGAAGCAGCAGGCTTTCTTGATAGAAGCACATCTTCCACCCCTGTGAAGTTCATAAGCCGAGGTCGTAGACCAGATGTGATTCTTGAGAAAGGAGAAGTGATTGACTTTTCATCCTTGAGCTCTTCTGACCGAACCCCGCTGACTAGCCCTTCTCCTTCTCCCTCACTGGATTTCTCTGCCCCTGGGACACCAGCCTCTCATTCTGCTACACCTAGTTTGCTTTCAGAAGCAGATCTGATTCCAGATGTGATGCCACCTCAAGCCTTGTTTCATGGTAAGACTTAAAATATCAGAACCTTTTGTTCTTGTGTAAGGGTGCTATATAAATGTGTTTTGTTTTCACTCTGCGGCTGCATGTTCTACATTTCTTTTCCTTCCTTTCTTCCGTCCCTTCCTTTCCTTCTTCCCTTCTTCCCTTCCTTCCTTTCTTTCTTATTGGTTGGGGGGGGCTTGAACTCTAGGCCTGGGTGCTGTCCCTGAGCCTCTTTGTGCTCAAGGCTAGCGCTTTACCACTTGAGCCACAACACCACTTACAATTTTTGAGTGGTTTATTGGAGATAAGTGTCTTATAGGGATTTTTCTGCCTGGGCTGGCTTCGAACCCTGATCCTCAGATCTCAGCCTTTTGAGTTGCTAGGATTACAGTTGTAAACCACCAGTGCCTGGCTCTTCGTTTGTCTTTTCTTTTCTTTCTTTTTTTTTTTTGTTTTTTGTTGGTCATGGGGCTTGAACTCTAGGATTACAGTTGTAAACCACCAGTACCTGGCTCTTCGTTTGTCTTTTCTTTTCTTTCTTTTTTTTTTGTTTTTTTGTTTTTTGTTGGTCATGGGGCTTGAACTCTGGGCCTGAGCACTGTCCCTCAGCTCTTCAGCTTAAAGCTAGCGCTCTACCACTTGAGCCACAGCTCACTTCTGGTTTTCTGGTGATTTATTGGAGATATGAGTTTCATTGCTTTACCTGCCTGACTGGCTTTGAATGGTGATCCTCGGATCTCAGCCGCCTGAGTAGCTAGGATTATAGGTGTGAGCCACTGGCTCCCGGCATGTTTCTTTTTTTTTGCTTTTCTTTTTGAACTCTGGGCCTGAGTGCTGTCCCTCAGCTCTTCAGCTCAAGGCTAGCGCTCTACCACTTGAGCTACAGTGCCACTTCGGGTTTTCTGGTGGTTTATTGGAGATAAGAGTTTCACAGACTTTCCTGCCCAGGCTGGCTTTGAACTGCGATCCTCGGATCTCAGCCTCCTGAGTAGCTAGGCTTACAGGTGTAAGCCACCGGCGCCCGGCTTTTCCGGCATGTTTCTTTTCCTATGTCTTGACAACAGTGTTTTGCAATCTGCACAGATGATGATGAAATTGAAGGTGATGGCGTTATAGACCCAGGGATGGAGTATGTTCCACCCCCAGCTGGATCCTCAGCTTCTGGACCAGCAGGAGGCAGAAAGAAGGTCAGAGCCCCTGAACAGATAAAGCAGGAGGTAGAAAGTGAGGAGGAAAAGCCAGACAGGATGGATGTAGACAGCGAAGACACAGATTCAAACACTTCTATGCACACAAGGGCTCGAGAGAAGAGAAAACCTCCCCTGGAGAAGGACATGAAGCCTAAAGGGCCCAAGTATACTCCTGTGAGCATCTATGAGGAAAAACTGCTTCTCAAGAGGCTGGAAGCTTGTTCCAGTGCAGTGGCCATGACACCGGAAGCTCGGAGACTGAAGCGGAAGCTGATTGTCAGGCAAGCGAAAAGAGATAGGGGATTACCACTTTTTGACTTGGATGAAGTTGTGAATGCTGCCCTTTTGTTAGTTGATGGAATTTATGGAGCCAGAGAAGGAGGAGTTTCCAGGCTTCCATCTGGACAAGCCACTTACAGGACTACCTGTCAGGACTTCAGGATCCTGGACCGATACCAGGTGATGTGAGCTACCAGGTGATGCGAGTGTGTGCTGCCTAACCACTGGGGACAGGAGTGGGATGGGGGCAGGCAGTGGACACATAATGCTGTGACACTCATAATCATGAGTAATTTGAGGAGAAAAGCTCTAGGAGGAAAGTGCAAAAATTCCAAAATTGTTTAATATAACCATCCTTAATATACCTGTTTTCTTTTAACTTGAATATTCAAGACAACCAAGAAATTTTCCTTCTGTCTCTGTGTCTCAAGGTAGTTCATGTCATGGTTTTGATTGACAGATTTGCTGAGGCCTTGCATCTGTGTTGTTAGAGCACATCAGTTGGTTTTTCAGCAGTTTGTTTACCTTTTACTTAGGATGTAGTGACTTCTTTTTTTGGGGGGGGGTCCTGTCGTGGGGCCTGAACTCTGGGCCTGGGCGCTGTCCCTCAGCTCTTCAGCTCAAGGCTAGCGCTCTACCACTTGAGCCACAGGGCCACTTCTGGCTTTTTTCTTTTTGCTTATGTGGTGCTGAGGAATCGAACCCAGGGCCTCAGGCATTGCAAAGCAAGCGCTCTACTGCTGAGCCACCTTCCCAGCCCTCTCTCATACATTTTTAAATTACATTTTTCTTGGGCTTTCTGGTAAAATTCTTGAACTTTTCTAATTTTCACTAAGTACTTTAATTCAGTGGTCATGTCTTTAATATATAGTACTGATTAAGAGATGCTTCGCAGCTATAATAGACCCTTGGTACCTATGGTTTCAAAAAGACCCCACTACTGAGGGAAATCCAAGCATGCTCAGGATGTATAAAGTCCAGTGCTGTACTGTGGATATTTGATTATTTTTCTCATAATGGCATCTAACTTCCATTAAATACATACTGCTTTCACTTCATCACTTATTCACTTTTTACCTTGCTTTTTGGACACCATTTACTTTTTGGGAGGCACTTTTTTTTTTTTTAAAGGAGAAAACAATCCTTATGCTGGTTTTATTTATTATTAGTTTTTTGGGGGGGCGGGGGGAGTCCAGTCGTGGGGCCTGAACTCTGGGCCTGGGCACTTGTCCCTCAGCTCTTCAGCTCAAGGCTAGTGCTCTACCACTTGAGCTACAGTGTCACTTTCAGCTTTTTCTGTTTATGTGGTGCTGAGGAATTGAACCCAGGGCCTCATGCATGCAAGGCAAGCACTCTACTACAGAGTCACCTTCCCAGCCCTGAGGCACTTTTTTTTTTTTTAAGTTGCTCTTTTGCTTTTGTTTATATTCAAAGACATTCTATTTGAATAAAGCATGTCAAGGTAGCATCAGTTAAAACTTGATTCACTATGTTTTCAGGTGATGGCTTGGACAACAGTGTAGCTTTCCCTAGTACAAGTGTTTATGATGATGACCCTGATAAGGACAAAAAGTCTCACAAAAAGCATGGCATCTTTGGGAGGCAGATTTTCACATTAAGGGGAAGGAAATACACAGTAGATCCTCCCAATGATTTAAACCAAACACAACTGATAATAACTTAGGACTGTCTGAGAGCTTCTCTACATTAACTACATGATGAGTGTGCTAGAATTTAAAATGTTATTATCAGTAAGTAGTTGTACAAAGAAGTTCCATCCTACAAGACAGTATATGAGTACAAAGTGTCTGACAACATTGTCACCCATCTCTCCTAACCCATCCCTTCTTGGGTCCTGATTGACAAGGACTCCAAAAGGCTGAAAAAGGCTCAGGATGGAAGGGCCAAGACCAGCCTGGTGGCTGTGACTGAAATGTTATGATGGTAGAGGAACAGATTAGTGCAAGATGAGTGCATAGGAGTAATGGAGTCAGATTCTGCAGGATTTTGAAAGTCACAGAAGAGGAACATGAATTATATTCTGAAAATACAGTGGGAAGCCACATAGAGGAAATAATTTATGTTTTAAAAAAAAGACTTGCTTCTTGTAGGGAATAGATGATGTGGATGAAGTAGAGTGGCAGCAGAAATACCAATAGGAACTCATGGTAGTGGTCTAGGCAGAGTGAAAGGGAATATAAAGTGAAAGCAAGGCAGGTAGAAAGAAGCCAGGGAACTCTATAACATCCATGAGGATTCAAGGAGGACTCTCCTTGAGACTAATCGAATAGGAGACAAGCTACTGGGTCAGCAGCTGATGTTTCAGTTATGATTCTGCACTCTGGAAGTGGGGCTGTAGCTCAAGTGGTAGAGCGCTTGCCTTGAGCTGAAGAGCTGGGGGACAGTGCCCAGGCCCAGAGTTCAAGCCCCACAACCGACAAAAAAAAAACAAAAAAAAATCCCAGTGATTCTGCACTTTAAGCCACCCCAAAATATAAGTGATTTGTCATGCTTTTTATTTTTATTTATTCATTTTTATTTTTTGCTCGGTCCTGGGGCTTGAACTCTGGACCTGGATGCTGTCCCTCAGCTCTTCAGCTCAAGGCTAGCACTCTACCACTTGAGCTACAGTACCACTTCTGGTTTTCTTTTTTTTGTGGGGGGGAGGGCGGTCTAGTTGTGAGGCCTGTACTCTGGGCCTGGGCGCTGTCCCTCAGCTCTTCAGCTCAAGGCTAGCGCTCTACCACTTGAGCTACAGTGCCACTTCTGGCTTTTTTCTTTTGGCTTATGTGGTGCTGAGGAATCAAGCCCAGGGCCTCATGCATACAAGGCAAGCGCTCTACCACTGAGCCACCTTCCCAGCCCCCACTTCTGGTTTTCTAGTGGTTTATTGGAGATAGGCATCTCACAGTCTTTCCTGCCTGGGCTAGCTTTGAACTGTGATCCTCAGATCTCAACCTCCTGAGTAGCTAGGATTACAGGTGTGAGCCACCAGCGCCTGGCTACTATTTTTATTTTTGATAGTACTAGGAATTCAACTCAGGGCCTTAGTAACACTTGAACTATGCCCACAGCTCTTTTTTGTTTTAGTTATTTGTCAGGTAGGTTCCCATGCTTTTGCCTGGGAAAACTCTAGATGCCTCCCCTGTAGCATATATCATCCCTAGCTTACTGATGGATGTGGATTCTCACAAATTTTTGCCCTGACTAGACTCAAACTGAGATCTTCCTGCTTTCTGCTTCCTGAGTAACTGGGATTACAGGCATTGAGCTACCATACCTAATGCATAATAACGACTTAATGTTTTGCGTGATTTTTGTTGACTGACTGGCTCAATAGGTTAGTGGTTCTGAGGCTGAGGTCACTTCTGTGGCTGCATTCATGAGGGAGCTGAGTTGGAACTAGAATGGCCAGGATACTTGTCTTCTCACAGAGCTTGTGTGCATGAGGCCTGTAGTTATTCACTAGTTTAGATGAAGTAATATAATGGCAGACTTCCAAAAGGGAGGAAGGGAAAGCTGCCAGTTATCTGAAGATTGAAAGCCCCATAGTATTACCTCTGCCACTTTCTGATAGGTCAAAGCCATTCACAAGACATGCATAGGCTGTCTCTCATTAGGAAGAGCCATTTATACCCACAGGAATGGAGGAATTGTTAGTGACCATTTTTAAAAACTCCCCAGCTTTGAATATTATTTTGAAACTTACTTTCAGTCTTGGAAGAATTTCAGAGTTGGCCTTTGAAAATTTTGGTGTCCAGGTTGAGAAAGTATGAAAGCCAATTACAGAGGAAGAAATCTTGCTCTTCTTTCAGCAAAGTTATTTTCTAGGCTATGAGAAAACTGATTGTACAAAAACAACTCAGGCTTCTAAACTTCAGCCAGCCCTTGGCACACCACCTTATAAATGTGCCTTTTAATCTTCCACCTGAGCTCTTCTCTGTAAAACCCTAATTGCACGTATTCTGTTAGTACATGACTGAGGGCCCTGGAGCAGCTCTCACTGAAGAACAGCACCCTTCATTGCAGCTGCCAGGGATTTATTGATTGATTGGTTGGTTGATTGTCTGTCCTGACACTTGAACTCAGGCCTTGGGTACTATCACTGAGCTTTTTTTGCTCAAGGCTAATGTTCTACAACCTGAGCAACAGCTCCACTTTCAGCTTTTTTGTTAGAGTCTCACAGACTCTCTCTCTCTGCCCAGGCTGGATTCAAACTGCAATCCTCAGAGCTCAACCCCCGTAGTTAGGTTGAGCTCAGCTTTACTGTCGAGGTTCCAAAAGAAACACATGGAGTCCACTAGCTCTTCTAGGAAATCCTTCTGAGGAAGGGCCAGATTTGCCTTGCTGCCCCCACTCCCACATCCCTGGTAGGACCTCCCTGTTGAGATATGCTTTAGGGATGGTAGTCTACATCACTCCCATTATTGCCATAATTAATAATTGAAAAAGAGACATATTTTAGAAAGTCCATACACAAGAACAACAACACTTGGTTCCTGTGACCTATATGTATGTTACCTACTAGATATTAATGGTGTTTAATATGTAAGAGGAAAGCATAACATAGAACAAAACCTAGAGACACTGAAAAGTGTGTTCATTCCTGAATTTCACTCACTTAAATGAAGATTTTTTTAAAATTTGAAACTGGTGTTAGTTTTGACTAATGGATGACTTTGAACTGGTGTTTTTTTCTTTTTTCTTTATTTTATTTTATTGTCGGTTGTGGGGCTTAAACTCTGGGCCTGTGTGCTGTCCCTGAGCTCTCAGCTCAAAGCTAGCTCTCTACCACTTGAGCCACAGTCCCACTCTGGTTTTCTAGTGGTTAATTGGTGATAAGAGTCTCATGGACTTTCCAGCGGGGCTGGCTTTGAACCACAATCCCCAGATCCCAGCCTCTTGAGTAGCTAGGATTATGGGTGTGAGCCACTGGGCTTGGTGTTAATTTTTTTTTAATTTTTTGTTGAGATTAAGTGATTACATAAATTTTACAAATTTCACAGTAATGTGGGATAGTGATACTTTAGTTAAAAATCCAAACACACTTTAACCTTCTCAAGGCGCATTGTCATTATTGTGGTCTATAAAGCTTATGGACTGTACAAACTTCATATGCTAAATTTAGGCAAAAATACCTGCAAAGTATATGTTAAAACTTGAACTTTCCAAATAAGTAATACAGCTGGTAAAACACCTGCCAGTGAGTGATAAGCATCATATACCAAGCTTGAGTACCAAAAGAAAGAACCAAATAGTAGTGGCACCTAGCATGCCCTAGACACTGGGTTCACTCCAGAGCTAGGCATGGTGGAGCACCCTATAATTGCAGCACTGTGGAGAGAGGGTGCTAAGGCAGGAGGGTTTAAAATTTAAGGCCAGTCCTGACTATCTAGTGAGAGTCCGGACCATAATATATGGAAATAAATAATTTTGTTTTTATGTAACCATTGTTCCTTTTCCATAGACTGCCTTACCATCTAGGAAAGGATTTCGGCACCAGACAACCAAATTTTTATATCGATTGGTGGGATCAGAAGATATGGCTTTGGACCAAAGTATTGTCAGCCCTTATACTTCTCGGATCTTGAAGCCTTATATCAGGTATAAACAGAAGAGTTGTGATGTCAAGTATGTTGTGAGGTGATGTTTGTGGTTTCTGCACCCTGTTCTGTTGACTGACCAAAGACCTAATACTGTGAGCGGTGTTAGCGAGGACAGTTGTTCCACATCCACTGTTAGCCTTTTTGTAATGTAAACAGCAAGGATAAGTTACTAGTTTTCATGTTTCTTGGTGATTATCATAATCATGATCTTAAACATTAAAGTTGTGTATATTTAATAGTGTGTGAAGGGAAAAAAGTGGCAAGATGTCTCAGTTTTGAGACAGTGTCTGAATTGGATGTTGGGACAGTTTGTAATGACACTTGTCCAGGCTGAGTTTTCTAGAGATATCTGACTAAGAGCACAGTGTCTTTGGCTGTGCCACACTTCATCTGCAGCTCTGTCATTGACCTCACCCTCTTTGCCCAGCATTAGGTTCTTGGGCAAACATGTGGAGAGGCACTTCAGAGCCCGTGTAGTCCCTTCTCTGGTCTTCAGCCATGCTGGAAATGCATCCCTGTGTCAGCCCACAGATTTCTGGGGTGAATCTGCATGCTGGTTCTATTTCAGCACTGTTTTCCCTATTAGTCTCTGTATCCGTTCCTAGTTCAATCCCTGTTGGGTGCAGAGAAGTCTATCCTGATAAATGTGAAAGTTATAACATCTATAAACAAATATATAAAGCATTGCAACTTAATTTTATATTTCAGGCAAATCAGAAGTGTGTGTGTGTGTGTGTGTGTGTCAGATAGCTAGAAATAATATGGAGTGTTTCTCTTGATTTGGATTTATTTATTTTCTGTGGTACTGGAGGCGTGATTATGAGACAAAGCCACCCAAACTACAGCTCCTGTCACAGATTCGTTCTCACTTGCACAAGAGTGACCCTCATTGGACACCTGAGCCTGAAGCACCTCTCGACTACTGCTATGTCCGACCAAATCACATCCCAACAATCAACTCCATGTGTCAGGAGTTTTTCTGGCCGGGTATGTTCCCCTTCCAAAATAAGATCAATTTTCTGTGTATTTCACCCTAGTAATTTTTATTTTATTTTTGGTTCTAGTACTAGAGCTTGAACTCAAGGCCTCAAGTTTGTTTGTTTGTTTGCTTGGTTTTCTCCCAAGGCTTTTTGCTGGTTAATTGGAGAATAGAGCCTCAAAGACTTCTCTGCCCAGGCTGGCTTTGAACCATGATCCTTAGATCTCAGTCTCCTGAGTGGCTAGGATTACAGGTGTGAGCCATCAATTTCTGGCCACCCTAGTAATTTTTTAAATTAGTATATGTTATATGACCCTAAGCTCTTTACTCATATGATTTCATTTAGTTTGTATCTACTAACAGATAAATAAAATACAAAACATCTCTTACTTTCCTAAGATCAAGAAGCAGCCAGCAATTAAAATAATAAACAGTATTTTTGTTTGTTTTTCTTCCCTGTTTGTCTCTGCTTCCAGAATAAAAGATCCATCCTGTTTTGCTTCTACCTATGTTTAGATACCAGGTAATGTCTATCAAAGATACACAGTCTGGTAGCTTGGGCATGTTTGGACACTTGTTTTTGGCTTAATAATCATTCTTTATACATTGTTTAGCTGTTTCTTAGAGAGTACTAACTAGTATAGCCAAAAGATATAGATATATATTTTTTTAAGCCTAATGCGCCAATCATAGACTTTGGAAATAAAAGTAAACCCAGGATGGTTTTTCATTTTTGTTAACCTTAACAAAATAGTCTCCAGAGATGAATGTCATCAGTTTGAGGGACATATTTTAATTGCTAAATATGAATGTGTTCTCTGTTGCTCTGCTTTGAAAACTAAAGGAACTAGTACATGTCTTCCAGATGTTAGAGAAGATTGCATCCAGATTAAAGCTTGTCACCATTATTGTCTTACAATCATGTACTAGTTCATGGATGGCAGAGTTGTACTCAATCTTTTGGGAGTGGTATTGGCCACAGGTACCATTCTAGGAACACCTGTTTCTGCCCTTACCTTCCATATAAATTATGCACAGAATTCATTTTTATTTTACTTTTTTATTATGAAAAAAATTTCATGAGAGCTTAACAGTCATATGGATGGGATAAAGAATATGGTGTGGATGCTTTCAGGGTATCTTTACCTAGCTCTGTCAGTCTTTGTGCGTGCCTCTTCTCACACATTATAGGAACCAAGACGTTGAGACATTTTGACATTTGCCAGTCACACAGGTGGTAGAGGAGGCTGAGTCAAAGCCATATGTGTCCAGTTTTGAACCTGAACACTCTAGTACCCCACCTGTCTTGCTTCTACTCTTTTAGCATATGTACTTAGAAAAGACTATGTTAATTCTGATATTTTCAAAATTTTATTTTTATGATCTGAATGTGTGGTATCTATGGTAATATCTTTGCCTTCAATTTTGGATTTTTTTTTTTTTAGCATGCAGGTGTAGGTATAAGTACAGACTAAACAGCTTGGCGTTTATTAATTCTGAAAGGCACATAGATTTTAAGTGTCTGGTTGTTTCTTTTCTTTAGGCATTGACCTGTCTGAGTGCTTGCAGTATCCAGATTTTAGTGTTGTTGTCCTTTATAAAAAAGTCATCATTGCCTTTGGCTTCATGGTTCCTGATGTGAAATATAATGAAGCTTACATTTCATTTTTGTTGGTCCATCCTGAATGGAGAAGAGCAGGGATTGCAACTTTCATGATTTATCATCTGATTCAGGTAAGTTATCTGTGTTTGTGATTAACCGTAAGCCACATGATGTGCCCAAGGATTCTCTGAAAGATCAAAGGAGGCACAAGGCTGAGCTGGCCCTCCACAGCGCCTTAGAGGAAGCCAGGTGTTACCACTTACAAGGTAGTGAAAACATGCAGATGAAAACTTAATCCCTAAAATAAGATTGCTTTCATACCCAAGTTTCTTTGTGGGTGGTGTCATAGGTAACACAACAAAGTACAAATGTGACACCATGAAGCACGTGTGCTGTCCAAGTTGGTAACTGTATTCCAGTTCTAGAAAACTTTGATAACTGAGAAGCAGGAATAGAGTTATACATATTACTTTAAGTAGTTTAACCATGTTATCAAAACTGTGTTGATATTGATGACTACTTTTGACAGTCATATGAGATCCTTTTAGGCCTTGCTTCTAATATTCAACTCATCCTTTGATATATGGGTTTTCTTTTGTTTTTTTGTGTGTGTTTTTTTGTTCAGTCAAGGGGCTTGAACTCTGAGCCTGGGCACTGTCCCTCAGGTCTTCAGCTCAAGGCAAGCATTCTACCACTGGAGCCACAGCACCACTTTTGGTTTTCTGGTGGTAAATTGGAGATAAGAGTCTCAAGGACTTTCCTGCCCCAGCTGGCTTTGAACTTATTCTCAGATCTCAGCCTCCTGAGTAGTTATGGTTAACAGGCATGAGCCAGGGCTGGGAAGGTGGCTCAGTGGTAGAGCTCTTGCCTCGTGTGCATGAGGCCCTGGGTTCGATTCCTCAGCACCACATAACCAAAAAGAAAAAAGCTGGAAGTGGCGCAGTGGCTCAATTGGTCGAGTGCTAACCTTGAGCTGAAGAGCTGAGGGACAGTGCTCAGGCCCCACAACCAGACCCAAAAAACAGGCATGAGCCATCTACTTTTCCTGAGTGATAGGGTTATAAGGATGCACCACCATGAAACATGATGGAGATTTTAAAAAAAGTCTCTTTTTGGTTCTTTATTAAAATTAGCTTAATAATTCCAGATTTTGTCTAGAAGCTTGAAAAACCTCTTCCAAGAAATCACTTTCCTCCAAACAATGACTTTATAAATCATTCCCAGGCAATTGAAGTGTGCCACCTTGTGTTGTTTCAGTTGAGACTAGCTTGGTTATTGCTGCTGTGTCCTTTTTCCCTGTGTCACCTTACCCACAGAATTCATTTATGTGTCCATCTTGTCGTAGCAGAGTGCTTCCAGATTTTCTGCCTTTTGTTACCAGCAAGGTCCCAAGGGCATGGTGAAGATGATTTTGTTGTTGCTGGTGGTGGTCCTGGGGCTTGAACTGGCTGCTCCAGTGCCTAGGTGCTTGCTATTCTGAGCCTCTTTGTGCTCAAGGCTAGCGCTCTACCACTTGAGCCACAGTGCCACTCCTGACAAAGATGATTTGATTGTTATTAGTGCATCTAACTTAAGGCCTGGTGTGGAGACAGACTTTGTTGAATGTTTGCTAGGCTTATCTTCGAATGTAGGCACCTTGTACCCTAACCACACAATAAGCCCCAGGGCTCAAACACATGGCTTGGCCAGTAGTACTTGGGCAAGTACAGTAGAATTTTGCTCTACATTAAATAAAGATACAGGCTGACCCATTGTAACAATGAGATGTACAAGACACTATGTTGAAAACAAACTACAGCATCAGCTGGGGGAGGGAGGAGTTGGGGAAGTGGAGAGGGAAGGGATGGTAGGGGAAAAACAAAGGAGGAGGTAACAATGCTCTATAGTAAATGTACTCTTTACCTTATTCATGTATGTAACTGTAACCCCTCTGTATAGTATTTTTACAATAAAAAACGTATTTTAAAAAATTGCTCTACATTGGGCTGGGAAGGTGGCTCAGTGGTAGAGCGCTTGCCTTGCATGTCTGAGGCCCTGGGTTTGATTCCTCAGCACCACATAAGCAAAAAGAAAAAAGCCAGAAGTGGCGCTGTGGCTCAAGGGGTAGAGCGCTAACCT